AGTGGAGTGTGGATACAAGATATGCTAACTCTCCAAATGTGTTAAAGAAGAGACAGAGACATCTATCTGGTCATACCAGAAGGGAATTCAGTTGATACAGAAGGTCACAGGTTTTTTTTAAATCTATTTCTCTTGTGCAAATGTATCCAGTAACTTTCCCGCTTTCTTTTTTATTTTATGTAAATTAGAAACATGAATGCTTCACATATCAATCCCTGCTCCCTCTCCCACCCCTCCTCCCTTATTCCTCTACCAGCCTTCCACAATCCCCCACCCAATTCCCACATCATTCCCCAGGGAGGGTGAGGCCCTCTTTGGGGGGAATCTCCAAAGTCTGTCATTTCATTCAAGGCAGGACCTAGGCCCTTTCCCATGTGTCCAGGCTGAGAGAGCATCCCTCTATTTGGAATGGGCTCCCAAAGATAAACATGATAAACCATGATAAACACTGATTTACTACCCAAGGCCCCAGTGATTTCTGAGGCCACAGTTTTTTTTATCCATCATCTTATGTAATCATCCAAAGGTGGGGGCTGTGTCAGAAGACATATATCATTATGTATAAAGGTATAAAGGAAATATCAAGTATTTCCCTTAATCCTAAAGGCACTCCTTTGTTGCATGTACTCAAAGCCTCAGGCATTCCGCAGCAGCACATTTCACTAGCCTTTGGGGTGGTTGTAGACTCTGGCTCACAGTTCTTAAGAATAGGAGCCATTCTTCAGTGAGGCTAGGCCATCAAGCAGCCATTAGCTGAATTCTAAAGGACAATAGAAATTCTGGGATCTCCTGAACTTGTGGGAGGGTGAAATAGTTTTCCAAAATATACAAGTTCCAACATGTTAGCATCTGCTATCTGAGAGTTAATGTTCATTTTGTTACATGCTGTACTTCACAGGAAAGACAAGATAGAGTTAAGTATTGTTGTGCCAGGTTGCAGAATCCTAGACACTAACCCAAGGAATTGACACTCTGATGCAAAAGCAAAAGGTTCCATTTATTGTTCAGCTGGCCAGCTGGATGTCTTTCCATGGGGGAGGAAATAAGATGCCCACCAGTCAAAAAAGAGAAGCACTTAAAGGGGCAGCCCATGAGTTTGAAGGCCACAAATTTCAGTTTCCTTGGTTACGTAAGGTCATACAAAGAACAGAGTCAAGCAGTAACTATATATTTTAAACAAGATATATTTAAGTAAGCTAAGGAAGGGCATGGGCTTTCAGAGTTACAGAAGGTACAGGTTCTGTCAGCTACTCCTTGGGCCTGGGGAACTTTACAGCTGACAGGGGATCTTTACAACCAGCAATTAGCAAAGGAATGTTAATAGGAGTGGTGGACAGTTACCTCACCTTCTCTGACAGCAGGGGCTCAGGTGCCAGTCATGGCACTACTAATTTAAGGAGTTAAGTTTCCCTCTTCCATTAGAAGTTACATTTCTCTGTAGAGATTTAGGGCCCAGGTTTTCAAACTTTTATTAATTTTAATTTTTGGTCCCTGAATGGGCAATGGCATCACCATGGATCAGCTGCACTTGTTTCAGATTCATTGCTGCTTTCCACAGCCCATGATAACATGAGCATCTCTTTTCTAGTCACTGCAGGGGGGCGGAGGCTGATCCTGCAGTACAACTGAAATTTCTACCAGTCTCTACATTTGAAACAAGGGAATCATCCTCAAAATATGAGATTTGATATGCTCACATGGGGCAGTCTTTTTTCTTTTGTGTTTCCTTCTCATTCATTCAGTTCACTTCCATGAGAATGCCCTTGTTGTTTCCATTATTATTTATGTTGAACAAGGTTGTCATTCACTCTTACTTTCAGCTGCATAAAAATGTATTTGCTACATCTCTCTTTAATTGTCAACTTGATTCCATCCCCGAAAGATACCTCATGACCAATGGAAATGCAGTGGGAACCTATCTGGCCTATGAGAATCAGGTGTGTCTCTGACCTATGAGAATCATATTCTATGTTAACATATGTTCTATGTTTACATTTCTATAATATGAGTAATTTTTAAAAACTCTAGTGTTGTGACATTTGAACATATTGGTTTGGGCTTTCTCTTACATTTTTGTTTGTTTTTGTAGGGGTGTGTTTTTTGTTGGTTGAGCTTTTCTCTTTTGTTTTGTTTTTATATGCTTGTTTTTAGATTGAAAACAGGAAAGTGCATTTTACAGTTCTTTCTGTAGAAACAAATGCCAGCTATCAGGGGACAACACCTACAATACATCTGACCTTTGTGATCCACAGCCAGAGGGGTTTCCACAGAACTAAACACTAATTCATGACCTATCATAATATAGTACTAAAGAATAAAGTTTCTTTAAAACTATCATTACTACCCCAAAGAGCCTGTATCCAGTTGCTAGATTTCCTATCTTTGTTCAGCTTCTGAAGTTTTCAAGTGAATAACTCACAAGGAGACCAGTTAAAAAAAAAAAAAGAAAGACAGTAAAGAAAAAAAGGAAGAAGCCCTGGAGCATCCTAGATTGTTTCTCTAGGAAAAAAAATCCTATGTAATGAGAGATCCCAACTCAACATTTTTAGACCCCTAGTGACAAGCCCATCACAGAGTGACTTGCCCTTCTGTCCTCTCCTGAGAAACCGGAGACCTCAAGATAAACTTAAAAGATAACCCTCCCTGATTCAGGAACTAGCTCACCACATTCCTGCTCAATGTTTAACTGTACAATGCCCAAAGAATGCTTGCTTGAGATAACCTTCCTGTTAAGACATAAGCTATCATTTAACTTCTCATTCTTTATGATGTTTGCCTAACTCCCCAATTTGGTTTTTCCCTTTTAAAAACCCCCAACTGCAGCTACTAGGGGCCGATCTCCTCTGCCCCTGCGAGGGTCATGAGCTCGGCCCCAGTGCACTGGTTCCCCGAATGAACATCATGTACTTGCAGCAAGAATGGTCTCTTTTGAATTATTGGGGTGTAAGCTTATCCCCGAGACTTGAGTGAGGGTCTCCCCACTCTGGGGGTCTTTCAGTAACAATATTTCTAAAAATTCTATTTTTCTTCTGTGTCTGTTTCCCCACAAGCTTGTATAATCCTCTGCCTTGTGTGTGTGAGGACTCTACGAGGAGCATGGTGAAAGCCAGGACCTCTTCTGAGACAGTTCAGAATGCAGGCACATCTATCAATACAGTCATGTGTTTCAGTTCTTTTCTTCCCTTCCTGTATTCCATGTAAACATCATTTTGGAAGATGAAGGTCTAGAAAACAAGAGGAGATGACAGACACCAGACCAAGGAACGGAAGGGGGGCAGCTACACAGCCTGGCATCTCAGAATACTAGGCTAGGTCTTTCCCAAAATTCAAGACAATCTGACACTTTAAAACATATAATTACATTATTAACACTTGAAAACAATTTTTTGTGGAAGACAGTGTTCACACACGGGCCGTGTACAGTTCTCAAGTTTATAATGACTTAAGTTTTTAAAATACTTGCGATAAATTGAAATGATACAATTGAATTTAGGTTTTAAATAAAGGGTCTGTGAAGGTGGTAGACGGCATCTTTACTAAACGGTGACAATAAACATTTTGGACTTAAAGCAGAGCAGTCTAATTCCACTTACACACACATACACACACAAATCTGCTTTATATTTTTACAGATTGAAGATATCTAAAGCAGGTTGGATTTCAACAATATCAAGTATTCAGGGATGGTGCAGCACATGGACAGGGAGGGTGCTGCATGTGGACAGGGAGTGTGCTGCACGTGGACAGGAAGAACACTGCACGTGGACAGGAAGGACACTGCACGTGGACAGGGATGGTGCTGCACGTGGACAGGGAGGGCGCTGCACGTGGACAGGGAGGGCACTGCACGTGGACAGGGAGGGCGCTGCATGTGGACAGGGAGGGTGCTGCACGTGGACAGGGAGGGTGCTGTGACTCTGAAGGTACAAACTGTGGTCTTGTCTATTTCCTCTTCCCTGTTCTGAGATAGCTTGACATTTGAACATCATTCGTAATTCGAGAAAATTAACGAGGCCTCCCAATAAGACTCACAGAAAAAAAGAGAACAGTCTCCAGATGACTCAGCACAAAAGAAGCAACAAATGTTCATGCTATCATTGATTTCAGTGGCTTTTTTTTAGAGTGTTAAAACTTATCTTTAGTTAGCTTACAATGTTAATCTTAGAGTATCTGAGGCAAGATCAGTAAAATGTGTATATTGAAGCCAAGACTATATTGAAATGTCTTCATTGTGGTAGACCACCAAATAAGAGTGGTGAAATAATCACACACCGAAGCCTTGTAGTGTTCTGTAGGAGAGAAAGAATACACTTAAGTAAGTTCCCAGGAGAATGCGTGCTGTAAGGACACTCCCTTGGCTTTGAGAGGACAAGAGAGGTCTGAGGTCCTATCTCAGTGATGCAGCCCTTGCCTGGGATGCAGGAAGACCCTGGAGTTCTATGCCTGGCCCTGACGAAAGGAGAGGAGACAGAAAGACTGTGTGGAAATGTGAGAGGGTGGCAGTGCAAGCCGTGACTACAGGGTCTGTAGGGATCCCTGAGTACAGGGGGACCAGCAGGAGGTCCTGAGGCAAAGGAAAGGAGAGAAATGCACTGTGCAGAGGAAACAGCACGTGGTGCCCACCTCCATATGGATGAGAGTGGTGGGAAGAGACCTGGACTGAGGTCAGGATGACTGCAGTCCATGGTCGGCTGTGGGGTACAGTAGGAAAGGGAGCTGGGGAGAGGGCGGGACACGGGCTACACAGACTGAAAGACTCTGGACAACATTCTAAGGTCCTTCATCCTAGAGAGTCTGGGAGACTTGAGCTTTTAGTCAAAGATGCTTAAGCTATAATCCTTCAAGTATCTTCGCATTAAATACACCAATAGGATAAAGGACTTTTAGAATAACTTCACAAACAGAGATTACCATCTCCTGTACCAAGTCATCTTGTTGGAGTCAGATCAGCATTTGTGGCAATGAATCTGTCTAAGCTGGTGGCAACATCCTCACCCTGCCTAGGTCTTTCTTTCTAAGACAGTGTAACAGGTGATCCTGCCAAATGGGATGATGACCACACCGTCCTGTTCCACCTCACTGTGGACATCACCAATGTCGGCCAAAAGTAGAAGTTCTCTACTGTACACAAGGTTAAAACAAACAAAGCATGCCAATTCTGCTTCTTCTATGAGTCCTTTCCCGAATATGATGAAAACCATCAATGAAACATCTCAGCCTCCTCCCAACACATGCCCGTGTTGGACAGGTGAGAAGACAGAGGTTTCACAAGCAATGCTGACCTGATTTCTGTGTCTGATTGTCTTTTCTTTGGGGGAATATAAGGTTTCCTCCATCACAGTGTCTTTCCTGCCATCCCCCTCCACAGTAAAACGGTAATTGTGAAACACTGCTTCACATACATGTTCTTAGGTGGCTAACCTTGGCCATCAGCATCTAGGCATCTCTGTGAGCAACAGCAATATCTGTCAGATTCCTAATCCTCTTCATTTGGATTTATTTTTCCAACTTTGGGACAAGCTACTGAATCCAAGAATGTTTTATAACACGGTTTAAGATATCATTTCTCAGGGCCAAAATGGTATTTTCAATTATGTCTTCTGTATTTTTGATGACTATATTCTCTAGCAGGGCAGATAAAGTAATCATTGGGTATGTTATTTATTTAGCAATTCCTTTATAAAGTAAAATGAAAATGCTATTTGAGCATATAAATGTCGTTAGGATTCAAGTTTCTCTTGAGTAAAGTGGAAATGGGTCTCCACTCAATTTCAGATGTTATAAGTTCCACATGTTTGCACCATTCTCCCCTGAAAGAAGTACCAGATATATCTTGCTAAATGTTGATAGACAAAATATTGTAACTGTATTCTTACTTGATAACTGTTCTGTTATATATGATTTGACTATGTCAAAGTTAAGACCTTTCTTTTTGTTTAAACAGAAAAGAGGAGATGTTGGGGGAAGTCCTGTGCATTTGTCAATAAAGTACTGTTGAGCCTATAGGAAACCTAGATAGGAGGGACTAGGAGTCCAGGAGAACTCTGGGAAGGAGAAACACAAGAGAGTTCGAGATGTAACGCCATGGGTAGGATCCCGGAATTATTCTCTGGTAAGAGAAATACTTAGATTAACAATTATGGTGTAATTACTTAAGTTAGAGCTAGCCAGTAAGAGACAAGCAAGGCCAACAGCTTCATAATTAAAAAAAAAAGAAGTACCAGATACTCTACCGGGCTGCTGTGGTGTGTAGACAGGCTTGTCAGCGTGGATGAAGAGAGAGCCATTGTCATGGAGGACTGGCATTTTTTTCTGATTTTGAAAAATGTTCGACACAACTTCCAAATACACATATGAATATGAGCTTTGTGCTTCACCCAACTGTTTGGTCTGAACCTGTAAAACAACAAAGAAACACCACGATGGGAAACTGTGAATGTAGAGTCTTAATGCATGCTGATACTGAAAGAAAAAAGCAAACACTCTAATCTCATAAGACTAAAACTGAGCTTGTGCATTGCATCATTTTCAAAGAGGTGCACTGGGCTGGAGAGATGGCTCAGTAGTTAAGAGCACTGGTAGATCTCCCAGTAGACAAAGGTTGAATTCTCATCACCCACATGGCAGCTGAAACCACTTCTGACTCCAGATCCAGGGATCCTAGGCCCTCTTCTGTCCTCTGTAGTTATTGCACACAATGGTACCCAGACATACATGCAGGCAAAAGTACCCATACACATGGATTTTAAAAGATAATAATGAGCCACTTGTAGTGGTGCACACCCTGAATCCATGCATTTGGGAGGCAGAGGATGTCCAGACTCTGTGAGTTCAAGATCTACAGAGCTAGTTCCAGGACAGCCAAAGCTATTAGAATATCCTTGCAGACTAAGATTAGCATCTGCTATGCCAAACCATCTTGTTGGAGTCAGATCAACCGTTCTGGTGATGACTCTCTATCTAAGCAGATGGTAACATCTCACCCTCTCTAGGTTGTTCCTTTTCCCAGCCTTGTCTTGAAAACAGCAATTAATAGTAATCATAATAATAAATACTTCTACAGTACAGCACTATAGAAGCTGAGGCAGAAGGATCTTGTGTTTCAAGTCTATCTAGGACTACAAGGTACAAATTTGTCTCATAAACATAATCAGCCAAACAAATATACTAAGACCAAACAGGAAAAAAAATAATTTAGGCTGCCAAATACCCTTCATAGTCTGTGTCATAAAAAATTTTAGCACTAAGCATTCAGAAATCTTTTTGGTGCCATTTGAGACATATTTCACAGAATTACTATTATAGAAACTTGTAAGAAACCTTTGCTTTATCAGCTTCTGGATGCATTGTTTTCTCTGTTCTTCTCATCACACCACAAGCCTCTGTGCCCACATCATAGACACACATTCAACTTTGTGTGTGCCATTACCATCATCTTTATATTCAATGATATGAGGATTGCATATAGTAACACAGATAATAAAAGGAAAGTATATTTCCATGAAAATTTAGGGTTCAGAAACAGGGATAAACTTGAACACTAAAATCAACTGCATTGAGGTTATTACAAAAGTTTGGAAACAGTAAAAAACAAACTATTGATTTTCTGTGCTGTGATTAGTTATAGATGTCTTTGAGTTGTTTATCTACATAAAACAATACTATAGCTTCTACCATGGCTGTGGGAGTGGGGGTGTCTCTGACTCTTTCACAGGCTCTTGGGACCCTTTTCCTCCTACTGGTTTGCCTTGCACAACATTAAAATGGGGGTTCAGGCCAAGTGTTATCCCATCTCGCTATGCCATGCCCAGTGGATATCCTGGGAGGCCTGCCCTTTCCTGAAGAGAAATGGAGCAGGAGTGGATCTGGGGAAATGGAAGGCAGCTGTGGTGGTGGAGAAACAGGAGGAGTGGAGAGAGGGGAAACTGCAGTCAGGATTATTGAAAACAAAAACAGTATTCATTAATTGTGGAAAATTCATTTGAAAAAGTGGATTCAAGGACAAGACTGAGACAACACACTTAATTGGCAAATATACTTTGTAGTGTTAACATAAAATTAAGTTCATGTGTATCAATGTTTATGATTCCTCCATGGTCCTCAGGCTCCTGAGATGACCAACAAAAGTAGCTCAGTGAGGTTTCCTGTGGTGACAGACATGTCTTGTAACTATGCAGTCCTAACACATGGCTAGTGCCCATGAGGAACTCAAGTATTACACCAGTTACATTTAGTTGATTGAATTTAAAGACAAATGTGGCTAGTGGCTACCATGCCTCGTAATAGAGTGGCCAGAGAAAATAAGAGTTTGGAGAAATGAACTTTAAATTTTCATAAACCAAGCACTTGAGAAATGGTTCTTTACAGAAATTAGAAATTTATTCTCAAGATCATTAATAAAATAATTTCTGTGTTTTGTTATAATTGATTCCAAGTAATGTTTCTCAGTTGAATCCATCTACAACTCCAGCCCCGGGGATCTGACACTTCTGATCTCCCTGGGTACCCAAGTCATGTCTCACCCATTCACTCCCAAAAGCACATTCATATAATTGAAATTAAATTGTTCTTAAAGATGAAAAAAGATGCAAAAGCTCTTAGACAAGTTAGCTGTGGTAGCTAGATGATGATGACGATGACGATGATGTTGATGATGATTATAGGTAGATATATAGACAGAGAGATTATGTAAAGATGTATGATAGATGGTAAATAGATGATGGGAAGATGACATATAGATGGAAAGGGATATGACAGATGATACATAGATATAGATAGATAGATGAAAGGTAGATAGATAGATGATAGATAGATACATATAGATTGATGACAAACTAAAACTAGAGATAAACATAGAGGCATTACCACAGTGTTTTAAAAAACTCAGCAACTTGTTAGCATAAGTTTTGAAAACTATATTCCAATACATTTGAAAATAAGACACAGATAAATTTCTTGAAATATATGACCTATGAAAATTAAATTAAGAGAACGTGCACAGGTTGAACCAATCTATAATAAGCCAATGAGATTGAAACAGTAATAACCTTACTAAAAATACCCAACCCCAGATGTAGTTACAGCGGACCCTGTGCTGACCATACTATTCCATAAAATAAAAAAGTGGGCATGGGCACACTTTGTTCACAAGAACAAACATAACTATTCTATTCAGTGTTTTGTGTTTCACTCATCACTAACTGATGTGGGATAATGTTCTTGTTCGCTGTAAGGATGTGTCACTCATATTGATTTAATAACATGCTGATTGGCCAGTACCCAAGCATGAATTTTAGGCTGGGCTTCCAGACTAGGAGAAATCTGAGAAGAAGAAAGGCAGAGTCTAGTTGCCAGCCATGCACAGAGGAAGCAAGATGAGAATGTCTTACTGAGAAAAGGTACCAAGCCATGTAGCCAAACATAGATAAGAATTACGGGTTAATTTAAGTTGTAAGAGCTTGGTAGTAAGAAGCCTGAGCAATAGGCCCAACAGTTTGCAGTTGACATAAGCCTCTGTGTGTTTGTTAAGGACTAAATAGTTGAGGGACAGGGTGGGACAGAAGTTTCCTTCTACATTAATGACTGTTAACCATCTCATCACCACACATCTGTGGAACAATATTAACAACTCTAATTTTACCAGTGTTCAAGCTTTGCAAAGTTTACCAAAAATACATGAAGAAAAAGATAAATAAATACATACTGTTAACACTGCCGAATTTTGGAATTTATTTTCTGGAGATAAATTAACATAGCCTGAAGAGTAGGTCCTATTTTTGTCAGGATAACTTCTTAAAGAGATTGTCGCATCAAATGCTTCGGTGTAGCCATGGGCTTGAATTACAACATTTTCAGATGCTCCGACCTGGAAGACTTTCGGTGTTGAAATAACATAGCTGTTAAAACGGGAAAAGAAAAGGCCCACTACCATTGCAGGTTTTCTCACACATCTGATATTTTTTCCTTCATTCCAGGTCAATTTTAAAAACCTGTTTTAAGACAGGCAGTGGTATCATAAGCCTTTAAGCCCAGCACTGAGGAAGCAGAGACAGGTGTTTCCCTGAGTTGGAGGCCAGCCTGGTCTACAGAGTGAGTTTCAGGACAGCCAAGGTTGCACAGAGATATCCTGTACTTAAATACATTTCAAATTAAAATGATATTTTGAAAGTCAAAATTTATTATTCTGGAAAGCGTACGTTTTCCAGGAAGCGACAGGTTATAATTAAGCCTAAACAACAGATAAGAGATAAAAAGCCATCAAGATTAATGGCCTGAGTTTGTTCCCAGAAACCTGCATAGAGGGAGGGAGGAATTGATTCTTAGTAGGTTCCCTTTGACCTGCCCATGTCTTCAGTGTGATATGTATGCCTCCCTGCACCCAGACAAAAATAAACACATAGTTTTTAAAAGCTTACTGTGGAACTTCCCTTCACATAAACTTTGGTCCATATGGATGTATCAATCATGCAGTCTGCTCATGGGAAGAAATTTAATCTTGTGTATTTTTCCTCACTCAGAATTCCTGGTCATTGGGCTTGCACAGAGAAGCATATTGCTTGGGTTGTTACTATTTTTCTGCTGACATCTGTATGGCGTCCCCTCATTTCCTGCAGGCTCTATCTGCACATCACCTTTATCAGAGAGCCTTTCTGTCCAGAGCCTTAAATGTGACCTTTGGTTTCTGTACTCTCCTGTTTTCTTCATGCTACTGGAACTGCCTGTCCTTATTCATCCATTCTTTCCATGGCTCATCCATTCTATCCTTGCATATTTTGATCTTTCATTGGCTCCTTCATTCTGTCATTGGCTCACTCATTCATTGATTTATTCATTCACTCAGTCATTATCTGCTTCTTCGACTAGAATGCAGTCCCTAGGAACAGTCTTCTCCCACCCTCAGAACCTATTACAAGGTAGGTGTCGTAACAGTTGGCTGGTTTGTCATCTTTCTTAGACTGAAAATGACTCGACACTTATTAAAGCACATCTGGTCAGTTGAGTCGATGCTGGTTTCAGGGAGTCAACTAAGGAATGTCATCCTCATACCTCGAATGTGGATAATCACAACATCCCACAGACCAAGGGATCCCATGCAACGGGGGAGGGAGCTGGGTTGAGTGCAAGCATTCTTTATTTGCTTCTGAGTAGAACCCATGGACACGGATCATGAGGGTCCAGGTTCTGGTGATTAATCTACCTTTCCCTGAGCTTCAGTTGCTTGTCTGTCAAAAAGGAATACATAAAAATAGATGGCAGTACTCATGGATGACTGTGACCTTGTAATGAAGTCTGAGGGTAGAACTGTGTGGCAGGCTTACCCATTAGTCCACGTTTCCTGGCATTTATATTTCTACAGTTCTGACACTGTCAGGGAGGAAGTGAAGTGCTGAGCAGGAGACTACAGTGAAATCCTGTCTCCCTAGCAGTGTGACCCTGGACCCCTCACTTCTCCTGTCTGGACTTGCCATCGCATGTGGACTGAGCAGGCTCTGCACATTAGCCAAGGCCTATAGCACCGGTTAGCCAGGGAGCTGAAGGCAGAGTCTCATGTGGACACGTGATTTGAGACCGGCCCAGACAGCATAGTGAAACCTCATGGTATAAAGAAGAAAAGAAAAAGAATATTTCAGTGAGGTGATTTTCAGTTAAATTCCAATGCGAAGATATTTGAGCACTATTAAAAAGGACAAGATTTTGGTAGCGATAAAATTATGACAAATTGGCTTATGAATATAGAAGTAGTTCTAACCATAGTTTTAAATTTTATCCCTTAGTGGGAATGCTTCATGACCCACTGTAACTAATCTTATGCATCACTAATTAAAATAAAATTTTGATTATTAGCATTTGGTTATATAAGACTACCCTATTGGAGTTACTCTGACTTCACTGTACGTAGAATAAGAAAATTACAAACTAAGTGTCAAGTACAAGTTGGTGATGAATGCCAAAATAATTGACTATCTTCGTTGGACGTTGCCGACTACAGAAGCAGTGTATTAGCTGCTCCCCAAATCCAGATGTGTCCTCAGCTCTCTCATGAGCAGATGAGACTATCTTTTTATTATTTCAGGGGGGACAGTTATGGTTAAATAAACACAGCCATAAATTTCCCTTTCACTCCCCACGACTGAGGACTAGGAAAATGAAGATGGCTTGTTTTACTTACATTTGTTCCTGTCCCCAGGTGTTGTCCAGGAAAATTAAAAAGCAAAGTGTCCACCAAATGCCCATGGCTGGAAATGGCATTCACCCATGGGCATGACCTTCTTGTAGCTACTTTGCTTTTAAGTAAACAGAGTTTGATGATTTTGGGTAAATTAGTTCTCTGGTTAATTATTAATGTCAGAGAAAAAGATCTTCAAGTGAGAAAGCTAAAATCAGAAATGGGCACATGAGGGTGTTTTAATGAACATAAAATATGATTAACATCCTGTCATGTCCAGTAATAAAGACCGGAGTGTTTAACATCAACTTAGACCCAGGGACTTATTTATTTAATTCAAATAAAAGCAAGGGCCTGGGTGCTTGCCAATGTGGGGGAAGGCTCGTTGCGGGGAGCGAGGAGTCTCTGCCTCTGGCTGTCTTCTCTCAGCCAGGTCCTTTGCTCTGACATCCTGCTACCTTCAAACTTGATTCTGGCAAGTTCCATTTGTGTCTAAGGTTGACAGGAGACTTACTTGGATTTCATTTTAAATGGATGACTTTTGAATGAATTTGGCCAGGTCTAGAATTGAAGCACGCAGTAGGCAGACACAGGTGGATCTCTGTGAGTTCTAGGCCAGAATGATCTAGAGAGTAAGTTCCAAGACATCCAGGGCTACACGAGAAGCGCTTCCTTGAAAAACCCAATAAATAAATGGTAGAGATAGACATGGAGATAGATGGATGGGTAGATAGATAGATACATAGATAGATAGATAAAACAAGCCTGACCTATAGAAGTAGCAGATACTTGTTATAATCAATGATAACTTAGGTCTATAGAGGCTGTCCAAGGACTAGATCCCATGGTCCATGCCAGTCTAGAGAATTAGATGGAGAAAAGGTTTTAACTGCCTGGAAACCTAGCAGAGATGCGCATGTGATTCCCTGGTCAATCAGTCACATAGTCCTTAAGAGGAAATGTGTGTCTATGAATGCATTTGTCACTCTTCCAAAATTTGCATTCCATTCATCATAGAACATTTTATTTTAAATGTTCATGATTTTCAGGAAAATTTCAATAGTTTAAGACAAGAGCTCAACATGAACAGAGATGAACAGCATTTCCCATGACAGCTTATTTTCTTCTTTTTTAAATCATTTTTTGGTTTTTTGGATACAGTGTCCCTGCATGCAGCTAATGCAGTCCTGGAGCTCACTGCAGACCAGGCTGGCCTCGAACCCACAGAGATCCACCTTCTTCTGCTTCCAGAGTGCTGAGATTAGAAGCATGTGCAACTACACCTTTCTACAGCTGATTTTCATAACTCCTTTATAATTTAAAAAAAAATGACACAAAGGGTACTACCTTAATTCAACTTATTTAATATTTTATGTGAATTAGAAAATTTTATTTATATTTTCCTTTTGTTAATAATCATTTGTACATTAGTATGTGATATATATTGCATTTCAAGTTAACAGAAGAGATGTCCTGGAGATGGAGGTGTATTTTAGTTGGTAGAGGACCTGATTAACATGCTCAGGCCAAGGTTGGAGGCCCAGTCCCTCACGAATATCAGGTGCAATAGTGTACCCCTGATATCACAGCACTCAGGAGGTAGAGGAAGGAGGACCAGAAATCATAGGTCATCTTGACCCACATAGTGAATCTGAGACCAGCCTGTGCAACATGAGATGCTGTTTATAGTAATAATAATGATAATGTTTTTTGATGATGATGATGAAGAAGAAGGGATATTTAAACATAGTACTATAAGTCAGAGTTTTTGGTATACCCTACTTTAATTAGTAGGGCAATGGTATACCCTACTTTAATTAGTAGGGTTTTATTTGACAAAACTTTAATACTGAACTTGTTAAAAGAAAAGGGAGTGGAAAGAAGAATTTCATACACTATTTCACTAACAGTATTTCTTTTATACATATCATTGAAAGGGATTCTGCCCTTATTAGTCAACTATCTAGCTCATTTATTTCCAAAGAAACCTGTAAAATGATTAAGCTGGGTTGCAAAAGATGGGTCAGCAAACAGTACCTTGTGATCACTTTCAGGAAATAAACCCTAAGAGCTTGAAAGACCGCCTAGTGGACAAACATAAGAGCTATATTTCAAGTGTGAGCAATGGTGTACTAGGAAATACTAGGAAATGAAAATTCCAAACCACTCTTGTAGAGAATGTTTAAGGAATGACAGTTCTCAACAATTCATAGTCTCGACTGATTTGGAGAAATACCTCATTCCTTCCTATCTTTCTTTTTGGACAGGGTTTCTTTTTGAAGCCCTGAGCTCAGCTCAGCTCAGCTCTGCTAGAAGCCCTGAGGGTCAGCGATCATCCGGCGCCCCCAATCGATTGGCCAGTGGCAAGCCTATGGGGCATATTCTTGATGGGTGATTGATGTGGGAGGGGCCAGCACATTGTGTGCATTGTTTGGCTGGTCAGGTGGTACTGAGAGCTATGTATGCAAACAGGCTGAGCAGGCCATGAGGAGCAAGCCAGCAGCCGCACCCCTCCATGGCCTCTGCCTCAGCTCCTGGTGCCAAGCTTGAATTCCTGCCCTGACTTCCCTCAGTGGTGACTGTGATGTGGACCTGTGAGCTGGAACGAGCCTCTTCCACCCCAAATTACCTTTGCCATGGAGTTTGTCACAGCAGCAGGAAGCCTGATTAGGACAACATGGTCCTCAGAGCTTCTCTCCATCTGGGTACCGCTGGGGTCTCCTTTAACCACATCTCTTTATTGCTTAGTAAGTGTTCATGATGTGAAGGGGCTCCTGGAACGTGGGTCTTCTAGATACATGTGGCCAGTGGACTGAAGACAGATGCTCCAACATCACAGAAGAACTTAAATGACTGTCCTGCCAGTGAGATGTTCTTGTCAACTGTAGAGTTTTTATATTAACTTTCTGTGGTCTTTGATGGAGTTGAGACAGATAGTTATGGTTATGGTTTTCCTTCTTTATGATAATGATACGTAACATAAGGAAGTTTAGACTCACAAAGAAAGGATAGATGATAGATTATTTTCTTTAAATTTTGCCAACTGTAAATGAACAAAATATTATTAACTGTAGTTCCTATTTGATAACTGTTTTGGTATATATTTTACTATGTTAAAGGTAAAACCCTTTATTGTATTTAGACAGACAAAGGAGTTGATAGGGTAATGCCCTTCTATATACATGTTTCTCTTATTGGCTAGTGAATAAAACACTGTCTGACCAATGAGGCAGGAAGATAGGTGGGACTAGGATGAAGAGAATTCTGGGACAGGTTAGCAGAGAGGACAAGCCAGAAGAGAAGGCATGTTGGCCACCAAACAGTAAAAGTCCATATACTCCTCCAGTAAGGTAAGACCATGTGGAAATACTAAGATTAATAGAAATGGGTTAATAGTTAAGACTGAGATAGCCAATACAGTGTCCTATAAAATTGTCCAACAATTTTATAACTAATATAATGTCTCTGTGTTCATTTGGGGATGAAGTTCAGCAGAACCAGCCTGGACAAAGAATCTCTCATTACAAGACTTTATCCTTTTTCCTTATCCTTTATCTTTATCTTTTTCTTTCTCAAGCCTTTGTATATTTTTAAACAAGTTGTAAAGCCCTGAGAGATTTTTCTTTATCTGAATCTGTCTTTACTGTATGTCTCTATCTTTTCCTGACCACAAACCTTTTATCTGCTAAACAGCATGTTTAAATTAAAGTGGATGTTTTAGCTGCTGTCTTTTTTCATGGCCACCGGTACATTTCTTGCCAACACTGGGAGCTGTGCTCACTGCCACAACTATTAAACCTTTTTTGTCTGTATGTGTAAAAGCTAAATCTGCCATGCAGCATGCTGTGTGGCTTGGAGATGTGGTCACTGCTTCCACCAGTAACTCACATACACCATAATGGTTTGGTAGCAGGGCCTCTTAAAAGAGCTGTGTTGTGAGAGCCTCTGCTTGTCTCTTGCAAACAGAGTCCACCTGAGAAAATGCTGCTGCCAAGAATATGCGCTTGACACTGTTCTTTTGTTTAGAATCCCTTTTAAAATTTTTGTTAGGTTTTACATGTAAATTCATGCCCCCCATTGGTGGTTCCATTTTGAAGTTGGGGTACTAATGAGGTCACTAGACCCAAGATAAATGAAAAATAGTTGTTTTGGGAGGAACAGCTTACATAGAAAATAGTAAACACCCACCACAGCATGACTGTTACAGAAGATGCAGTCTGTGCTCTTTCGATGATCTCTGCCACCCATGAGAGAGTGCCCACCCCACACTTCTCTACCTTGGAATCATGTCCCAACCTGAGGCCACCCTTGAAGGGTGGGGTCACTAACACATTTCATTGACAAGGAAAGATGCTACTACATATCTTAGTAGTTATTTACAAGTTACAAAAGGATGCCTGAGAATTCAGAAAGCAAAGTCAGCCACAAGCCATAGAAGCCAGGTACACACCTTTAACCCCAGCAGCCAGAAGCTAGACGTGGTGACACACAATTTTAAGACTAGGATGCAGGATTAAGGGGCATGTAAGGATATACTCGTCTCTGTACCTGTAGCA